ATATATATATATACGTACCATGTTCGTTCATATTGCGGATAACAGAGACTGTTTTTGTGGGGGTCTGAAAGATAAGAGCAACCTCTGGCCTCGATGTACAAAACCTCTTCCGCTCATCCAATGATTCTGAAACTCGCTACCGTTCAGGAAAGCGGTATCATTAATTCTCGCGTATATCTCGAAGGATAATAAACGCTCTATTATCTATTTTCATACTATTAATAATTTCAAAAGCTATGCATTTGCGCGCACTTTGCGTTTTCGCAATCAACAAATCAAAAAATACAGATTTATTTCAAATAACGTAAATGGATTTTATAAAATATTAATATAAAGAGTAATCTACGGAATGTTTCTATTTTTATAATATCTGGAAGTTGAGAAACTTATAAAAAGATGTATGTACAAGAAAAAGAGAACAAAATATATTGATTGCGCGCATTTTTTTATTGTTCGTTATCGATCATTTGTACTATAGCAATGAAAAAAATCTTCGCTGCAACCATATAATGTCCATATATATGTATATTTTTTTCAGTGAATGATTAATCGGGGTTGCAGTTCTTCTCGTTGTAGATAATATGACAGAGGCGACTAATTCCTTTTCATCGATTTTTTAAAATCTTTTATTCAAAGTTCTTACAAAATTCTTATGCTTGCGTAGTTATTTTGTTTGTGTCATTACAGTATATATTTTACATTACAGTATATATTTTCTTTTGCATTCTTGTTAAATAAAATTCTTATTTATTAAAGAGTGAAAATAACTATTATTAATTAATTAATTATTAATTGATACGAATAAAATAAGATTATTTGAATAAAATAAAATTTTGAATTACTTCTTAAAGAAATAATTTTTTTTTCTTAGAAAAAATATTTTGTCTCTTTAAAATAATTATAATTAATTATATCTAGAATACGTAGAATACGTTAGACGTACTAAATGAGGAAACAATAATGTGAAACTGAATTTAAAATTTATTTAAAAATATAAAATTAATTAAATACAATTCTCATAATCGCATGTTATTTTTTGATTGATGTTAAAAGAGTAATCTTTGGCAGGCAGTATTATCGGCAACGCGTCAGACTACCTTGTACGTACATTTTATTTACATTATTTCAGAGGTTGGTCAAAGCAAACTGTACTTGGACCTTTTGTGCAAAAATATGTTTTTTAATAGGATTCGCCGAGCGGCAGCGATAATCCAATGAGCCTGACCTTTCCAATTCGATTAGGTAATGTCAATAAGGTCGATTCAATGTTAAACGATCGATATACTGCCTTCAGGGATGATGTAGGGTATTACGGTAGCTTCAATAAAACCACTAAATCGAATCCATGCATTCCTCGAGCGAAAGATACTTTATCACTCGGATTCATATAAAGATAACGTGTGTATGCGTATGTAAAATTCTTCAGATTTTATATATTAATATTTAAATTAATATATATATATATAT